GTATTTCTGTTGAAAGGGAAAATACGTCCACAAATCCAAATTTTGAGGAAATATCTGAAATTTCAACCTCAATTTACTCAAAAAGTAGCACATGATGGTATATTTTTTATTGCATATTTGATTTAATCAGGTAAAAAATAGCCTATATGCCAATTTTCATTAAAATTTCATTACGGGATCAAAACTGTATCGTATGCCCTTAACCTCTTTCAATGTGAGGACACTGACCAATATGAGGCACAGAATCATTTAAGGTACATATTTGGTTGGATTGGTTTCTACATTGTAAATCAACTATTTTTACAGGTGTTGTGGGACTGACTGTTTTATTGACAATTGTGAGAATGCAACTCTTCTGAGACCATTTGACAGCAAGCTATCATACTTGGTGATATCGTTTGCCAATTGTAGTTGACCATATTATACTATCATTTGTATGGGAGTTATGTGACTTTTGACTTTTTTTTAGTATTGTATTTAGTGTCACCTTGTGAACACAACTCCCCTGAAATCATTTGACAGAAAGCTCGCATACTTTGTAGGATTATTTGCCATCATGTGTAGTTGACAAAATTATACCGTTATTTGTATTTGACTATCGATCCGCAATGACACATTATGACCCACAATTTAATTCCTCTTTTATGGCGTAGCAATCTTGTTAATAATCTTTATATAACTGTCAAATTATAATTCTTGATATACAAAAACCTCTTCAGGACCTTATTTTTAAGTTAGGGATTCCTATGATAATGTCTTTCCCAACAGGTCTGGAGGCACATGCTTAGTAAAAAATATTTAAGAAAAATGAAGACATATTCAAGAGATTTCAATTAGAAATAACAATTGTGAAAAATTTCATACTGCAAATTGTGTATCCTCAGGACTAATGGTCCTGACTTCTGACCTAAAATCGATTTGCTTCCTACCTTTTTCTACTCTCAATATTGTATAAGGTTTATTAAAGACCAACAAGTGTACCTAATAACATCACACAGAAGCAACAATTTCTAACTGAATTTTCGTTATTTTCAGTCTACTTTTTGCAGCTATGACCTTGACCTTTGACCTGAAAATCAATAAGATTCTTCCCTTCTCTGTATCTTCCATCTGAACAACTTTTATTATAGAATTAACAACCTTTGTGAGCACACTCACTTACCCCATGCCTCCACATTGTCACTGGGCAAACAAATTCTCACCTGATTCCTAAATCCAAAGACTCATAACTCCTACTGTAGTCAACTGATATATTTTTGTTGTGGATATGCACATTTACATATGTCCTCATTAACTACAAAGTTTCATAAAATTCGGTTGTGTGGTTTTAGAGGAGATGCGCTAACAAACTGTTGCAGTAGTATATCATGGGCAAAATTCGAAATTCAAAGGGGCATAATTCTTAAAAAGATATTGAATCATAATTTCCTGTCGATATATACATCTTCATAGTATATCCTTTTAATCTACAAAGTATCATGAAATTTTTGTGTGTGGTTTCAGAGGAGTTGCGATGACAAGAACTGGACTGACATACAGAGGGGTCAAAAACATTATACCATTCGCAACTTTGTTGCGTGGGGTATTAAAATTAGTAACCAACAAAAAACAATTGTTTAAAAAAATTCCAATTTTGAGTAACAGTGACCTATTGACCCCAAAATCAACAAGTTTTTCCCTTTCCCTATATCTTCCATATGTACAACTTCAAGTTTAATGCCAATCAATGAAGGGAAAAAATGCAATAACAAAAATTTAGAACTCAAAAGGCAAATTCAAAATGGAGAAAAACAAGTTACTTTACCCAAATTGTTCAATTTTTAGTAAGTGACCTTGAACTGAAAGGATTTCTCCTCTTAGTTTATATGCCAGTTTCATTTTAATCAAGCAAGGCATACTCAATTTCATACAGAAATTTTTTGTTTTGGACACAGGTGGACAAAAAAGCGATGGGAGAAGACTTTATAAGTTGAATTAACTTGTGTCTTGTCCCTTTTGCATATTTAAGCAAATGAAATATGTTTAAACTTGCATGGCAATGGATTAATGCTCTTAATTTTTTTCCAGGGAGCATTAAAATGTATTACTGTAAAATATAAAGCTTATCTTAATGATTGTTGACTGGGTTCTGTCCAATCTAACTGAATAAAGTCTTGATCATCCATACTTTATAGTATTACTGTGTGCTAGAAATTCCTTAACCGACAAGTAAATATCATGGTCTAGGATTCAGGTTTATACAAGCGGTTTACAAACATTTTGTGAACATTTTATCATGTTACGTTATCAAAATATGTCATTTATACATCTTAATAAGTTGTGCTACCATTAAACGTGGATCTCTCTCATGCATTCCAACTTCCTGTGGGACTATTCCATGAATGTATATGTCTATTTGTTTGTTTCGAGTTATAGCTGATTTTTGGGAATTTTTATTTTTCATTTAAAATGGTTCTTTTCTGTTCTACTTGTAGACATAATTTCTAAACCAATAAATGTATCTTGCGACCATGTTGGATATAATTGACTGGGTCTATGGTTTTAGATAGAGATGAGTTGAGACGAACTAGAAGGGCAGAACAACACAAGAATAGTAACAAGCATTCTGAGAGTATTGCATGGCAATACATAGTACCCTACCGGTTAAAAATTCATTGTACTGGAACAAAATGCTAACTTCACTAGCCAGTCAACACTGAGGTTGTGAGTTCGAACCCCGCTCGTGCGGGTGCACTCGACTCCAATCTTAATTGACTAGGATTGTCAGTTTTCCTATCGAAGGTCGGTGGTTTTCTCCGGGCACTCCGGCTTCCTCCACCAATAAAAACTGGCCGCCACGAAATAGCCCAAAAGCGGTGCTTAAAACTGGCGTTAAAACACCAAAAATAAAATCAAATCAAAATGCTAACTTGATCTATAACTTGTCATGTTGTAAACTATATAACAAATATCAAGTCAATATCTTCAAGCATGACGAAAAAAAGTGTGGAAAACTGATTATTTAAGTGAATTTTCTAAGTCCAAGGACCATAACTCTGCACAAAATCATCAGACCGGAACAAAATTCGAACTTGATCAGTAACTTGTCATGATAAAACTATATAACAATTATCAAATCAATATCTTCAAGCATGACGAAATAAATTGCTTCGCCGAGCGCAGCTGGATACGACCGCAGAGGTCTAAACCCTGAACAGTTGGAGCAAAAATGGACGCACATTTCGTGCTTGATACAGGTCTGAATTTGGATTGTAATTAAATATTTGACACATAAAAGGTTTCTGACACAGAATAACTGTAGTCAAAGAACTTAGAATTGGTTATACGATTTGAATTTATATTCAATTTTTTGCTTTTGTGCAATACACTTTGCTGTTGCGAATTGACCCCCCCTCCCCCCACAAAAAAAAATAAAAAATTTAACCCCCCCCCCTTTTTTTTGCTTTTGTGCAATGCACTATGCTGTTGCGTATTAACCCAAGCCCCCCTTTTTTTGGCCAAAAAAAATAATATTTAAAGAATTTTTTTTTTAATTTCTGAAATCTGAAATGAGAAAAAATTAACCCCCCACAATTTCTTTTTACCCACCCCCCCCCCCCCCCCCCCCCTTTTCCCCCAAAAAAATTCTTTCCCTCAAAACATGGTCATATACTCATTTCAAATTTCCAATGGAGTTTGCAACCATAATTACCCATTTATATTTACCATAGGTGCTAATTTAATCTATTTTATAATAGAATTTTAAATATGGTGTCAAATCTTTCGTATGGATTTTTTTGTAAAAAAAAAAAAGATGCAACATTTGCAGATATTTTTACTGGTCTTCCTTTATAAATATGCATTTCTTTAAACATATTTTAAAAGCAGTGTAAGGGAGGTAATCAAAACGTATTTGGATTAAATCCCTTACAATGCTTTTAAATTGTCTTAATTGTTCATTAACCATTACTTTATACATAATTTAAAAGCAGTGTAAGGGAGGTATTTCAAATGATGTATTTGAATTACCTCCCTTACACTGCTTTAAATCATGTTTTGTACTAAAGTTATTGTCCATTAACCAGGACACCCTTGTTTTCCCCCTTTTGTGCCCAGAATTCCTGAATGGTTTGAGCCATAACCGCCAAAGCAAATCCTAACCATCCCTTTGTGGTATGGAAACTTGTGGTATAATTTCAGAGAGATCCATACACCGTTCCACAAGTTATTGTCTGGAAGTTACAAAAAAACTTATTTTTGGCCCCTTTATGGCCCCTAATTCCTTAACTGTTGGTACCATAACCCCCAAAATCAATCCACACCTTCCTTTTGTCGTATTGAACCTTATGGTTAAATTTAATAGAGATCTATTCACTTAAACTAAACTTATTGTGGGAAAACCAATGTGTCTTCAGACGACAACGACATACCAATATACCACCGCAAAATTTGTTTTTGCGGTCGTATAAAAAAGTGCGGAAAACTGATTATTTGAGTGAATTTTCTAAGTCCATGGACCATAACTCTGCACAAAATCATCAGACCGGAACAAAATCAAACTTGATCTGTATGTTGTCATGATAAAACAATATACCAAATATCAAATCAATATCTTCAAGCACGAAGGAAAAAAGTGTGGAAAACTGATTTGCTGGACTGACGGATGGACAGACAGACAGACGGACGGAGTACAAACCTAAAGTCCCCTTTGATTTCGTCGATAGGGGACTAATTCGAAGAAAGCAAAAAATAGAGTGAACTTCATCATCTTAGACTGATGGCCATCTTAAGTCTATAGATAGGGTAACTCTGGAAGTATTTTGAAAGAGGACTAACAAGCTGAAGGGATATATGGTTTATCGTGGATAGGATATTCAAATGAATAATCTAAATGTTTAAAGAGCACTGACGACCAATCAACAAAAATGCAAACTTTTTTTGATCTTCAAAAACTGGGAAATCACAAAACAGCAGTGATTAAACTATTAAATATGGAGTAAAATAAAAGAAGAAACATCAGCAAGTTTTCAATTTAATTTATTACAAATATTTTGGTGTACAAGCTTCTCAGTATCATCATGCTTCCACACACAAAATACAATAATTTCCAAAACATACAAACAATGCAATGTTTACAGAACATTTCATCCATATTATCAAATGATCTAATGTTCTGGGGTATATATGGAAGGGAAAAATTTACAAAACAGAGAACAAACAACAATCGTCATCAAATATTCAATGTCCTGTTAATTCAGTTGTTTTCATGGGTATCAATTTTTGTGGATTGAGTAAAAATTTGTATTTTTGTGGATATTTGACTTTATGTTTTTGCCAAAGTCTGCTTTAAATCTATAGAAATTTTGTAATTCGTTGAACATTTAAATTCGTGGTTCATCTATAACGATGAAATCCACCAAAATTGATATCTCATGAATAATAATGAATTCACAGTATTCAAAACACAATTATGCAACGTTGAAACTAACCAGACGGTAAACAATTCAAATGTTGTAAATAACAACTTTAATATAACTTATAAATAGTAGTTTAAGTCACACCAAATCCTTAAAGCACATGGTTTATTTGTGTTGTCTGACCATTATTTTCTTCATAGCACATCAAGGTGAATAGATAATCAACAGATCTCCAAGGCTTGTTATGGTGATCAATAAATATCATTGTTGTATATAAACATGCCAAAATGTAATGTAAACAAAGCACTACAGTTTTATACAGAGTATCTGTATGTTTGACAGTTAACAAGTAACAACTCTCAACATAGAATAACAATAGCACTGTCATGACAAACAAGGAAAATATTGTAGAAAAAAACTCTGGAAGAAATACATTCAACTATTCTATTATTTTACCCCAATCACCAGATTGAGATCAGTTCATGTTCTTTTAAACATGTGTGATATTCAAAGAAAGCATTTAAAACCCTTCAGCAGCCACCAACAGAAATAATAATATTTACATTTCTTGTCCATACTAAGAAATATGTCTATATAAGTTGGCTTTAAAGTGCCTTACTTAAGAAAGCTTAAGTGTATTAATAATTACAATAATAAAATCAAAAAAACAAAACCAATTTGTTTTATAATATTACACATATTAACATACTTTCATGTTTGAAGCAACATCCCCTTTAAATTGCTGGTTTTAATTTTACCCATCATAGAGAACTGAGAATGATACTTTATTTTATTATAAATGTAATATAATTGCTGTTGAAAAATAGGCATACTACCAACTGAATGTCCAAAACAATAACAAAATAAATAAATCAAATGATTTTTTTCATTTTTTCAAAAGGCAATTGTTAAATAATTATAAATCATTGACACCAAACCAATCTTCTGTTCTTCCTTCAGTACACTGCATGTTTAACACTTTTCAAAAGTATCATTCATAATAGATCATGTCAATGCTTTTTTGAATAATTTTTTCTCTCTCTCATCTCAAATTTGTAAACATATTTATATTTGAGAATTAAACTTGCCACTCTATCCAGTAAAATAAAGAACCAAGAAAGAAAATGAAAAAAAAACAAAATATACTTCTGGTCTTCCTGTGAATTGTATAAACACCAGTTTTTTTTCTGATTAGTTCAACAAAGCTTTTTTTATACAAATACTACAGTATACTACAATGAATGTACAAAATTATTGTTCCATCGTTACTGTTGAACACCAAAAACAAAGTCCTACAAATCAAAAATTTTCTTGACAATTATATTCCTTAAGGAAGTAGAACATTTTTATTGAGATATCAATATAAATGTAAATATTACATTCAAAATAGTTTATGTTTCCAGAATTATTTTATACCTGGAACTTCAACCAAATATGAAATCTTTACAAAAAAAAAACATGTCAATATCTCTTAGATAAAGATTCTATGGTTAGCCAGGATACCAGAAAGTATTAAATTCCAACATTCCAGGTATAAAATAAAAACAACAAGTACTGATTGTAACAAGCTGCTGTTTCAAAGTCCACTTGGACCTCCATTATCACATGCCCATGTTTTAGTCATAGTTTCAAAAATACATGGTTGCTTTTTCAATTAATATTATTCAGACTTCCACTAACTTCATTTTGTAGACCCTAATTACCTGGTTCCCAGAAATTCATAAGCCTAAATATAACTATCCAGTCAATTAAAAAGATTGGGACACTAACAAACAGGGAATATTTCAAATTGCCTTTAAACAGTGCCATGTTAATGCTAGATGGACATTATAGGACATAAAAAATAAACATTTAACCAAAGCTACAAGATAAACAGTCCTATTTCTAAAGGTTGTCACATACAAACTAAAAAGCATCACGACTGATTAAATATGTCAGCATAATATACAAATAAAAATACAATATTCAAATTAATGAACAAAATATTTTTAACAGCGAAGTGACATGAAAATATGATATAACTCAAATATCGATGAACTCATTTGATTTTCTACGCTTGATTTTTACATAACACATATATTCATTATCACAAGCAATCAAATTTCTGAGAAATTTACCTCCTAAAATGCTAATAATGAATGCTTTATAAAAGTCAATCAAACAGTGTATACTAGAAGATTTTGTCAGATATTTTCATAAACAGTTGCATTATTAGTGCATGATATGCCCAAATAGCAGTTGTGAAAATACAACAAAACTAAGTTTAAAGTGCATACCATCTAGCTTTGAGGGAAAATACATATTTCTATGAATGAAGTTCGAAAACTTTGAAAAGAAAAAAGAAAAACAGAAGAAGTGGAAAATTGAAAAAAGAATTTACTTATGATTGTGAGATCCTAAAACTTTTATCTTTAATATTGAATATCATAAATTTATAAGTTGTAAAGGCTGTTCCAGCATTAAATGTATAAGTAGATTGGAAAGATCCTGTTTATTAAAAAAAATTCTTTAGAAAAAAGGTTATAACATTGGAAACAGGCTTTACAAACTCGTTAATGATAAAGTAGCGAAAAAGTTAAAAGAGATCAACATTCTTTCTCATTTATGTGCAATCTAACAAGATAAATACTGACTTACTTAAAATCAAAATGAATCAGTTAAAAAAAAAAACACACAATTAGATGAAATTTCAGAAAGGAAGAATCTTTAATAATAAATAATTCCACAAAAACACTCTAACTAAATAACCTATTGTTAATAGGAAGAGTTATTCTTAAATGAAGAAATGAATAAATGCAGTTTCAAATGGCACTTAAAAAGAGAATGTACCACTTCACTGTATCCTTAAATAACAAGCATTATGTAACTTCTTCCAATGATAATTTTATACATGACTTTATAATCCACGTATCTTACACAATCATCTCTTTATAGACAAATATATACATTAACTGCAGTAGCAAACACATGATCGATCTTATATGGAAACACGATTAAAATTAAAAACACCAACAAAAAGTATATCTTGATAGAAAACAGAAATTAAAATGAAAAAGTCCAAATGAAGGTTGTCTATAATCTATGGCTTGTTTAAAATTGATAATCTGATAATTCAATATCTTACATTCTGCATATATTTATTATGAAACTGGAGGCAGCCATTGCAGGTTTCCAGGCAGCATAAAATTCAGGGATGAAGCATATTTTGAAAATGTGTTTTTTCACCTTATTTCCTGTTGCTTGAAACTTTCAAAAATGTCTAGTTAAATCCTAAATTTACAGAAAATACAGGTATGCATTAATAACAATTTAATCTAAAAATCAGTTATTTCAAATTCTGTTTTTTTTTCTGAAATATTGTGTTCTCATAGGATGTGAAAGAAGGCTAATAAAACAAGAGAAAATGGAAAACAAGAAAGGTGTGAACTCTTTTTAACATGGATGCCATGCATACTGAATATGACGCAAAGAAATTTCTTAAATACTAAATTTTAATCTACTCAATATTCTTTATATTGTTTCATGTTGGTCATACAAAATAAACCAGTGATTCTAATCTCCCATATTTTTTATACCTACTCTGATCATATCATTTGTATTTGTGAGATACACTGAAGTCATAATCCTTTTTAAATTTAATTTATATAAAATGTCATAAAAATTAGGTTTTTTGCCAACCTATCAATCCTTCTCTTTCATTGTATGGAATGAGACCAGAGATCCATTTCACCTTAAACAATAAAATTTCAGTTTGTCATTCCTCATATAAACATTAACTGTTTAACAACAAAGACATTGATACATTTTATCTTCCATAAAATACAATTAAATCAACATTTGGTTTACAGTATAATAAATATTATCTATAAAGAGATGTACTGTCATCTTTCACACAAAACAATCACTCCTCCACGGAAAAGCTACTGTTATACTCTGTATCTATCTTTTGCTGTGGATCCTGATTTTGAGATGGTGTCTCTATGTGCCTGAAATATACATCAACAAAACATATTGAAACTACAGCAATAAAAAGAAAAGGAAATTGAATATGGTAACAATCAAAGATGGTTCCTATTTTTTTTTTGGTTTTACTAAATAAATAAAAAAAGTAATAGATGCACAATGGTGTTAAGTAATAAGGATTACCATTTGACTTTGAGCATTTAGTTGACGTCACTTGGGTAGGAACAACCAACAAGTCTTAAAGATTCTATGAATGTTACACTGAGACGATTATGAGTTTTGGTTGCAAAATGGCCAACATCATTTGTCATGTTTGGTTTGGTCCATGTTTTGCTATCATCATATGTACCTTTGTATCATTGTATAATGTCTTTGTTCTTCTGTGTACCATTGTATCTATTGCAGTTTATCGGAAAAAAGTATGCTGTTTGGTGGTGGCAGACGTCTTGAATGTTCAGTAGGATTTTTAAATGCAAAATTAGGGAATTGAACAATTACATTGAAACATCAAATAATTCAATTTTGTCTATATCAAATTTTCTTTTAAATTGGTAAATATTTTATATTTTTCATGTTTGTATTTATATTAAAGCGGTCATTTTGTTTACAGTATTGTGTTATTAAATGCATTATGAGGGGAGATAACAAAATAAACTAAATAAAGTATTTGTAGTTATTAGCAGCAGCTAGGTTCCAACGACAAATATGTCATAAATTCAAAATTACATAATTTACCTGAAATCCTATTACTAATTTGTTTGGTATTCGTAGTCTCTCTTTTAATTTTCTTCTGCAATAAAAAGATAAATGTGGAACTTTAACGAAGCAATTACACCCATGATTAAAATATGAATAGCTTAGCTTTACAACTGTGTTTGTAGAGAAAACTATTTTAATAACAGTAAACATAAAGAATCTATTTCAATTGCCCCAATGAGATCAATTAAAAATTCCTAGTAATGGTTTCCTAAGTGTTCAATCTATTAAAAATTCCTGGTAATGGTTTTTTAGTGTTCAATCTATTAAAAATTCCTAGTAATGGTTTCTTAGTGTTCAATCTATTAAAAATTTCTAGTAATGGTTTCTTAGTGTTCAGTCTATTAAAAATTCCTAGAAATGGTTTCTTAGTGTTCAATCTATTAAAAATTCCTAGAAATGGTTTCTTAGTGTTCAATCTATTAAAAATTCCTAGTAATGGTTTCTTAGTGTTCAATCTATTAAAAATTCCTAGTAATGGTTTCTTAGTGTTCAATCTATTAAAAATTCCTGATAATGGTTTCTTAAGTGTTCAATCCATTAAAAATCCCTGATAATGTTTTCTAAGTGTTCAATCCATTAAAAATCCCTGATAATGGTTTCTTAGTGTTCAATCCATTAAAAATCCCTGATAATGGTTTCTTAGTGTTCAATCCATTAAAAATCCCTGATAATGGTTTCTTAGTGTTCAATCAAATAAAAATCCCTGATAATGGTTTCTTAGTGTTCAATCAAATAAAATCCCTGATAATGGTTTCTTAGTGTTCAATCAAATAAAAATCCCTGGTAATGGTTTCTTAGTGTTCAATCTATTAAAAATCCCTGGTAATGGTTTCTTAGTGTTCAATCCACTGCTATCAAGTGATCAATAGTTTATGTGATATCATCGCTCTAATGTATAATGTGCAAAGGGTTTACTCAATCAATCAAAAAAATTGATCAGTCATTACAAATTTAAAGCACTGCTAGACTTTTATATGTATACACACCCTATTTTCATGGTAGCATCCTGTCGCCTACTATCCCTCGTCCATAAACTCAATTTGTCTCCTTTATTTCTAATATTAATAACAGCACCATTAACATCTTCACTAAAATCTTCAAATGCTTCACCAATTAAACATAATAACTGAAATAAAAATTAAATATTAGATAATCGTCACTTCGAAATGATTTCAGAAAACCCCCTACTTTATCTTATAAAGTTAATGAAACATCAAATCAATATAACTGTGAGATTTCAATTCAATGGGTGTCAATCTTTTTCCGATAAAAAATATTCTAATTCAAGTGCCAGCGTGTCACTAGAAATGAACAGTTGATAAAAAATTTGCACAAAAGGTCATCTAAACTTGATCCCTTCTGGATGATTGTCTTTATATCTTCCTCACCAAGACACATGCATTTAATGAAGCATGGTAAAAAATCTAATTCTAAGCCCAACTAAAGATCACGAATGTCAAGTATGTTTCAGAGATTTTTTAAGCAAGATGAAAGTGGACAATAAGATGACAGATGGCTGGCAAGCAACAGCTATACCATGCACTTGCACTTTTTGTTAGTTTTGTTAGAAAATTTCAGATGCTTAGTTTATTCAAAAATATAAACAATAAAAGAACAGTATTCCAATGCCGCAAGTAAAAAGCCCAAACCACAGATGCCCCAAATATCAAGTCGAAATCAGTACAACAGTGTCCATCTTTTAGTTTTAAGTTGATGAATAGGACAGTTTTTATTAAGAGTCTGCGGTACTATACTTAACATTTGGTAACCCTTTGTCTGTTTAAAGTATTTACCAATAGACTTTTTGTTAAAGAACATGAATGTAAATCTGTTCATTTCTGAAACTAACTGGTATTGGACCAGTCCAAGTATTAAAATACCTACCGTTTCCAACCAAAAATTATCTAAATCTGTTGATCGTTTATTTTTTTCTAAATTTATTAACCATCTTCCTCCATCTTTATTAACATCATCTTCCCACATTGGCTGAATACCATCCTTTAAAAAAATGGAAAAATTTTTACTCGTAAATTCAGGATAATTCAAATAAGTACATCAATGGCAAACATACCTTAAACTATACAGCCTAATTCAAATTGAAATCATCCTTGTGAGGACCACATATAAATACATTCCAGAAATACTTGTACTTGTGATTTGTCTTAATAGGAAGCAATTGTAAAAGTGGCTGTTTAGGTTAACAAACTAGATTCTTAAGAAGCTGGCAAAGGGAGATCACTCTATTGAACCATAAATAACATTTGCAATTTTCCACTGGCACCAACATTTTGTTTACTAGATTTGTGGTGAATCAAGTCTCAGATTACTCTCAGGACCATCCAGACAAAGTTTTTGTTCAAAGTAGTCCATTTTCAGAATGTATTTATTTTTTATGTTTAAATGAATTTTCTAATGATAGTATGCAGATCAGCATATATGACAGACAATGTTATCTGATCAGGTAAGCACATGTTCACATAATATCACAGGTTGGTAGATATATCAACATATAGAGTTAAAATGCTTACATTATACATGCAATAAAAGCTAACAAGGATATAACTTCTTTTTCCTTCAATATTTACCTTAAATAATGAGTAATCACAGCCTGAGGGCAATTTGCTTGCTTTCTGTACATGGTTATATAATCTAAAATCATCAACATTGTACATGTTAAAAATCAAAATAAATTATCTATGTTTTATATACAAAACTCTTTGTCCAAGTGAAATTTATAACAATCGTTAACTTGAATGTCTTTTAACATAACCAAACAACCTTAAAGGTTAAACTTGACTTCAAACTTGAGCTTCAAACTCAGAAATATGATTATATTTTTATTCTACTCATAGTTCTTTATCTCCTTTTTTCCAAAGGGCAGAGGAAGGAGAGTATGTGAATAAGCCTACAATAATTATACAGATATCCTGAACATCGTGGATATGACCTGTTAATTTTTGATGTCAAGGTCTATATGCATAATCATCTTTCTGGGTGTGTCTGGCAAAGTTTGAAATTCTAATAAATAAATATAACTGTTCAAAACAAGTATTTTCCTTAGCCTTCTATCATTTAACATGTTAAAAGGACTCCAATATCAGTATTTTATGATAATTCATATTTAGACAATATTGATTGCAAGATTTCCTTATCATTGTGTAAGAAAAAAAAAATTGGTTATAGGTTACTGGGCTAGAAGACATGTCATACTAAATGGTATAATCCATCAAATGTTGACAACCCAGTCACAACACAACCATTTCTGACAGATAAATTCTATTTTAGATCCTACTATATATACCTTTTCTCTAAGTTTTCATGCTTTACTGACACAAAAATAACCTGTGACTTGCATTTTAATTAACAAACTAACTACTTTAATATTTATTTTGTTTACAGTGCATTCATGCGTTCATTTTACTTCAAAATAAATTCCTTTACATTTAATGTAATTCTTACATTCCTGCTACATGTAATTAAAACTGATTTGACATTCATTAATGAAAAAAAAATGCACTATCAAATTATTTTTTTTGGTTTTTGTTTGGACATGTTGGATGACCGATTAAAACACGATATAGATGCAGTTTTCACAGTATAAAGACTGTACATGCAAATAAGAACAATCTTTGAAAATTCATATAACATGTATAAGATTACTAATTCTAGCTAAAAAATAATTACAATTTGCAAAATATTTCCCTATATGTATTTTTTTACATCTTGATAGAGTATACATGTAGCATGCTCACAAGAAGCTTGATAGAGTATACATGTAGCATGCTCACAAGAAGCTTGATAGAGTATACATGTAGCATGCTCACAAGAAGCTTGATAGAGTATACATGTATCATGCTCACAAGAAGCTTGATAGAGTATACATGTAGCATGCTCACAAGAAGCTTGATAGAGTATACATGTATCATGCTCACAAGAAGCTTGATAGAGTATACATGTAGCATGCTCACAAAAAGCTTGATACCAAATTTTACAAAGCTTTGATCTGTAGATCCTCAGAAAAATGGGACAAAAATTTCAAACATGGCCTTTAATTGATAAGTGATTGGTTATCAGGAAGTTTATGGATGGAAACACAGACAGAGAGAAACACACAGATGGACAGACAGGGGTAAACCTGTATACTCCCCCCGCCTTTGGAGCGGTATATAATAGTATTATAAAATCACTTGTGTGCATAAAATCTTTTCATAACTGTACTTCTTTTTTTCTCTAAACATGGAATTTTAATTATAATTACACCTTATATAAGAATGCCGGATTTTGATTGGTTGTTAGCCAGTGTATTTTTCGCAAATTCTAGCATTTTTTCCTCATTTCAAACGAATTTGCCTGTTTTTTTCACCACTGCCGGTGAATTTGCCTCAAATTCCCCTCTCTGCCGTGGTATTTGCCATTTTGGATATTCCTTTTTTACCCTCACGAGCCTATTCCCACCAAAATTATTCGGAACCTTTCTAACTTTATCCTGACAACATGGTTAAGCACTATTGATTGAGTTATACCGAAAACTGTCAGAAATATACATATAAACAGGCGAAAAAATTTCTATACAAATGAACGATTTAATGATGGAATAACAATGACATTTACACACATAGATACCATGACGTTACAAAAAGACAGCACTAACGCATATACCCGTGGTACTACGATTTCCCTTCACATGTACAGACAGTTTCAATCAAAATCTATTCGGTGTAATTAAACAGATATATCATGATATGGAGGGGTATTTGCGAAAAATACCAGTCTTGGGAACAAATTTCCCTCGCCTAGCGGCTTGGGAAATTTCACCGTCCCTTGACTGGTATTTTTCGCAAATACCCCTCCATAACATGATACATCTGTTCAAAATTTTACAAAAATTTATATAAAAAACAATTTGAACAAATACTCTATACTATATAAAATCTATTTTCACTTATACTAAAAATTGAGTTTTATCTTAAATTTTAACTAATAATTTACCCCCAGAAATCTTCTACAGTATCAAATGCCGTAACCAATTTTAGATTCGCTGTCCATTCTTTCGTTCTGTCATTTTTGAAAAACCACAAGGCCCATTTGTTTTGAAGTGGATGTTTGATTAAGAGTTCTGGTGATAAAGATTCATCTTCTTCTTCTCCTTCAACTTCTTCTACTTCATCAACTTGTTCTTCTGTGTCATTCCGTAACTCCTGAAATATAAATGTATATCTTATTGTTCAGAATGAGTACCTAGTCCATCTTGGTCAGTAATGAATTAAAAAAAATTCCAAGACCTCAATTCCATGGTATAATGCTGTACTCACAGTTGCTTGTCATCTGTAACTTTCCATTCCATATCAATTTCATGTTACAAATTTTCATTTAAAAGTAAAGAAATACAAAAACATAAGGCAGTTTCTCGTTAAAGAAATAAAGTGAAAGCAATGTCTAACCTGTTGACTGTTGTAGTTTTTTATTTATTTTTCAAGCACAAGAAATCAAGTTATATTTCATTCAGTCCTTTCGCCTTGTCTTCTCAGCAAGTTCAAAGGGCCTTTGCATTTTAATCTATCCCACAGAGGGAAAATAGCATTCAAATGTAAAAATCTTATTTTAGACCCCAGAAACAAAAATAGTGGATTCATTTCTTTGGTTGGTACATTTGTAACAAATATCTGTACCTTCAAAATTCCAAAAAAGTTGATGTTTCAAAACTAGAAATAAATGATTTAATTGAAATTTTATATTTTTTCTGTACCTACATCATGTACATGTGCATATGTATCCAACAAAAAAATAGATGCATCCAGAATTCAATAATTGTAAGTGAAAATAACTTTTAACTTACTTTAACTTTCAAGTAATCCATGACTGCAATTTTATACCACTTTCAAAGGAGAAACCCATATGAAATTAGTACTTGTTGCAAATGATACTAAAATCGGACAAAGGAAGTCTTTTATTCTATATAAATATAAGGTCTTTTAAGGGTTTATGAGCTTGTCAAAGCAAGACCTTAAAAAAATGGTAAATTAAAATGTATAAATATGAATCATAATTTTAATAGAAAAATATGTACACATGATGTATGAAAGAGCTATAAAAATCTGAACATGCTGAATAGACATACGTTAGATTGGCTGTCAAGATTACTTTGTGTCAAAAATGTCATTCCCCCAAAATGCCTCCTAAAACATTTTCATCTTACCCTTAGTTTTCCGCTAAGACTCAGGTGGTATAGCATATTATAATCCCTTGTAAGACAGTTAAATACTTGATATCAGATGTACCAACATACCAACCACTGTGACCTGACAAGAATATCCCTTCTGGGCATGACAATCATTTCTAGACTTGTGAATGAAAAACTTATGTTGTCCTACTTGCGAACCAAATTTTTTTTTTAACTACATCAAACAATAAAGACCTAAATTTTGAGATTCTTCTACAATTAAACATTAGGAACCTGTTTCAGTGGTTGTCGTTTGTTGATGTGGTACTTAAGTGTTTCTCATTTCTCGTTTTTTATAAAGATTAGACCGTTGGTTTTCCTGATTGAACTGTTTTACACTAGCCATTTTGGGGCCCTTTATACATGTTATAGCTTGCTGTTTGGTGTGAGCCAAGGCTCTGTGTTGAAGGCCGTACTTTGACCTATAATGGTTTACTTTTTACACATTGTGACTTGGATGGAGAGTTGTCTCATTGGCACTCATACCACATCCTATTTCTATTAACAATAAAAAAAAACTTTCAGAAGTGATAATTTTCTGACAGAAATGATTAAAAAAAGAATTAATATCATTATGGTATACATGAAAACCTCCTGAAAGGATGGAAAATATCTGCATTCACACAAATATTTGATCATTTGTTAAAATGAACAGGTTTTATTTATTATTAGATTTTAGTAATGAGGATAAGAACTGAAAATGTTTTACACGGACTGTATTACATAACGCATATGATGTACAGCACATGCTGATGTTTCTAATGACTAGAGGGAGATGTAACCCATAACAAATAACAAAAAACATAGATTAAAAGCCATAATACTTTTGTCACATGATCACTGTGGTGGTGTTTAAAACAACTTTCAGCGACCTTAGCTTTGAATGCTTTCAAAACCCATTTTGACTGAAACTCCTTATCTACTGAATGTAGTTTTTAAAATCATTCTTTCAAGTGGAAGCCTAACTCTCGTCAAGGAAGTCTGAGCCTTATTTGGTACGATTAAAAGTTTCCAACAATCTATATACATGAACAATGTATACATTTGTAGGTGTAGATGTCAAAGTAACAGTTGTGACCCCTGAAGTACCAATACTCGTTACATTTTTTGTTGTGACCCTGATGAGCTAGTGCTCGTAGAAGTTTTTGTTTTATGCTGCAAATCAGCAGCAAGTGCTTCTTACACCCTTTTATCAATTATAAATGTAAGTGACCTTGATGACTCATTAGTGGATTGCATATCCACATGAATGGGTTAAAACCCTGTAAATTCCCATCTGATTGCAGATGTTTAAGGACATTGACCCTTCAAATTTTCCCAAATAGGAATTATAAACCGGCACAGACAATTGCAAGTTTTCAGTAAGGGAAATCTGTAAATTATTAATCATTTTCCCAGGAAGGGAACTCTGTACATCAATGTTGCCCATAAGAAGACTCTGTACATTAGTACTGACATTCACAGATTGTATGTTTGAGGTTTGCAATGTCACAGTACACATGGTACATGTATATGTAGTATGAGTCTTACATAGAATTTTCTCTGTAATTTTTCCAACTATCATACGGTTTTTTTTTAACGAATAGTTACTACAAACAAGTTTGTCCAAATTTCCAAAATTCCATGATAGTCTGACAAAGTTATTGATGACTGAAAAACTTTAACCTCAGATTAAATCTGAATGTTAAATGTAAAACAAAAAAAACTTTAACCACAGAGTGAACCTAATTGTTGACGCCTCGGCAGCAGCCGCCATCACCGGAATCTAGGATCACTATGTCTCGCTTTAGCGACATAAATGTTACAGGCTCAACTAAAACCTATTGTACTCAAATTATTATGTTGATCCTACATGTAGCTATATAAGGTGAAGATGAAACTACATTCATCAGTAATTTACAGTTATTCCTCAGAGTTCTCGAAAACTGGAAATTAGCCGTGGGTACATCTGATGACCGATGTAAAAAACGTGCCGACATATGCACTGCAACGGCCGTTTTTGCATTGGCCATCAGGACCGCCGCTAGCAATCAAAATACCGGTCCTAGACTCATTTTGGCGGTCAGGACAGACAGGACCAACGATTTTCGCGAACTCTGATTCCTTTGGATACCTTTTGCCCGGTATTTTGATGAGCATGAACATGCTTGGATACAAAAAAGATAAGGAGTCATTGTCAGGCCCAAGGAGCATGTTATGTTGCTACATGTATGTTTTGCTTTCATGTCAATCCTGCCCAAGTTGATTCGTCCCAAGTCTTTCCAGCCCAAGTCGATCCAACTCATATTTAAAGTCGATCCGGCCACAAATTAATAAATAAATATTTACAAGGGATGAAAATTAAAAATATTAGACTTGTAGTTCATACATATTAATGAATTTTGAGTATAATATTAGCAAAGTTGGACGATAAATCATAAAAAATGTGCCTTTGACGCATATTCAAAACTACAATTTTCTTTTAATGTAAAATTTTATATCCAAATCAACATTTCCCCCTCAATGAGTATGGATGATTATGCAGTATAAAGCATGTATGTTGATTATGATTTTATTAGTTGTTTCAAGACTATTGTGTATGCATTTACTAAAACATATATTACAGTAGTTTAGTACCATAAACATTAATCAGCAATTTCTCAAACGACTTTCAGATCTGAACAAGTCTTTTAACTGGTGTAAAAACGAAATTTAAACAATTTTTGTCATGTGCAAATTCCACTTACCATGAATCATGTGTGTCACAAAATCCTCTGATTTTTATAGTAATTATTTGTTATTTTAATATGGGGCTGGATCAACTTGGGGCCAGAAGGACTAGGGCCGCCAGATGTACTTAGGAATGATCGACTCTGGGCCAGAACGACCTCATACATTGTACCTATGTTTTTATGTGATCTTTGTATTGCTACAGGTAATTTTATTTGGGCACAGTACTGTAACAGTACAAATGTATATCAGCATATAGAGGTTTTTTCGTCAAATTCATAATTTATTTCAAAGTTTCTGCCAGGAACCATCTTACTTAATAAATTACCAACAAAAATGATGCCATGTCCATGTCCATGGCAATTAGTTTCCAGTTACTGATTATGGACTTTTGAAAGAAATGCGTTCCATTACTGTATATCTCCTACTTTGATCAAATCCATATTTGCTCATTTACCCCATTCCTTGCTGAACTTTTGACAGTTCTGTGCATTCATTTTTGTCCATCTTTACTCAGGACCAGAGAAATAAGGGTTATTCAGTGTTATTAAATGGGTAAAATGGACTTTCATAAATATGAAAATACAAGTGTCGATGATGGAATATTATTATTTGTCTAGCAAAACTGATTTTTCCACTTTAAACCCCTGTTAATAGTAGTAACAAATCATATTATTGATTTACACTAAGAGTGTCAGATGTCAAAGAAAATACTGATTTGTTTGCATAAATATTTGTTTCTTTGAAATGGCATACGACTAGTCTACAAAGTCAATGCTTTCACAAAGTTTTTTTATGAAATAAATTGTCGATGGCTTTGAATTCATTTATAAATGAAAATAACCATTTCATCAATTGGTAAAAATGAAAAAATTTTGATGTGGAGAGCGACTGTTGTGAACACCGGAGCGACTAGATATCCTTTTTAACAAACATGAAAGCAACTTCTTTGCCCCAGTTGCCCAATAGCACGAGCCCTGGGGTACACAACCCTTAATACATCGTATATTCAGCTGAAGAAAAATGCTTGTTGCATACTATTATACTGTTATTGAGATATTCTGATATTGGTCAAAATGTCATTTATGATGCTGACCAAAGGAAAGTAATGTACAAGGATGTTAATTAAAACTTCTGAATTTGTCCACTACGATTGTAGCCGGCTAACATGATTTGACTGCCAAAATTCAAAACTGTCCCATCCTGGTTTCTATCCTGTAATGGGCTATTCCAGAAATAGTTGATTCCCACCTCCTATGGAAGATTTTGGAATTCCAAACAATTTTTTTTATTTCTCAAACCCTATGGAAGATACTGGATTTCCAGATTTTTCTAGATTTAAGACAATAATTTGATTAGACAAATAGGTGGAAATCCAGTAAATTTTGCAAAATCCATAAATATTTCCTAAGAATATCAGCAAATTTTTTCCATGCAGTTAAAGATTATCTACACTCATAAAATACCATTATATTTTACAAAGTTAGTATGTGTTAGTAATGTCTTTATGTATCGTATATATTGAGTATTGTATTAACTCATATGCTTGATATTTTATTGAATAAAATATTATTATTATTATTATTATTAAGAAAAAAATTTGACTTGCATGTCTTCTATAATACTAATTGTATTTATACAAGATAAAAGGAATGAAATTGTCGGATCTCCTGTACTTGGCAATCGCAATACTGGAATAAAAATTTTGTTCCAGTATTGCGTTTTTGAAAAAATAAATATCAGGTGGCAAAACATAATAAATGAAATATGACATGACAATTTTATCATATTGAAGCACAAAATACACAAGTAGTAATCATGATAATAAATAATATGAAAAAAAAATTTCAGCATAAATACTCATATTTGCAGAGCAATTGCCATCAAATAAAGTCTCAAATTTTCAGAGGTCTTTATCTTAAGAGGAGCAAACTATTCCTATGGAAAGGTTTCACACTATTTATCAAATAGATAATTTTTCTAAATATTTATCAAATTACCATTCTGTTTAAATTTTTCATCATTGCTTAAAAGTGAAATTTTAGCATAGTTATTTGTACATCTGGACATTAATTGAAAAAGTAATTATTCATATTACACAGATTTGATTATTTAGCAATAATTAGCCTTTTTATTTATACTCGTGTAAGGGACATGCCCCCTTAGTATGTTTATTTAGCAATATGATTGGAAGCAATTATTTTTTACAATTTACTCATACCTGGGACTATTACAATGTACATTTACAAAGTAGTCTTAGCTCACGCATGTCAATTGTCATATAATAAAATCAAATGCATTTTTTAAACTATGGATTGATTCAAACAAAGCTGGGAAATTATCAAAGTATCCCAAAATGTTCAAAACTTAATTTAATATATATTCCTTCTATATGAAAGGACTGGAGAAAAGGAAGAAATTGAATGTTTTATCCCTTCAGATTACGTATTTACGGAACATAAATAATTTTCTAAGACTACCCTGCAGAATGGCGATCCTGAAGATGCTTGAAACTTAAATAGTGCAGGGATACAGGTGCACCTTCTATATGGTAAATGACGTAATAAGGGTGTGCATAAATGACGACCTTTTCCGGTGAGACATGATTTGAGAAATAGCCAATACTCATATACTGGTATACCAGTATTGTGATCGCCTAGTACAGGAGATCCAAATAAACAGACACAATAAAGTAAAATGACATAAAAATATAGGCACTAGGCATATATATGATTTTAGATTTACAGACAATAAATTATAAAATGATTTACACTATAAAATTATAAAATAGGGGGGATCAAAAAATTCTGGATCAGCCCAACTCCTGGTACAGTAATCCACGCTCTACAAACTGAGCTAAAGTAATACTCGGAAGCAAGTTAACTCGTACCATTGTAAACTCGTACCAAAAAAGTTAACTCGTACCAACGTAAACTCGTACCACTGGGAAGTCGTACCATTCAGAACTCGTACCACTGCAAACTCGTACCATTAAAAATATATTCAAAAATACGAATGTTTTATGATTTTTTTTTGTAATCTTAATAAAAAAGTTGAATTACTTGAATTTTATACCAGATTTTAATGAAAACTTAGACAAAAATACGAATGTAATTCCTTAATTACCATGCTAATTGATATATTAAATTCCTTTGATTGTATGTTTATTGGGTTATTATTAACTAGTCAACTTGTTAATCATATTATTAAATTTTGATTGTTGTTATATAATTTAACAGCTTGGAATTAAAAGCCACACGAACCCCACTTGAAACTGAGGGTGATCTCAGGTGCCTTTTCAGATATCAGTTATTTTCCTCTGTTGCTGGAGCGAGGTGTATCTTCGGCTACAGGTGTTATACATGTATATAAATCGGGAAAATTATAATGACCTTTTGATTATATGAATTAAAGCATGGTCTTAATCATGATTTTGTGCAACAATGAACTGAATATTGTATAAAAATAAATTTCATACTTTCTGACTGTTGGTCATAACCAATTTTAAACCTTTAAAACACAAGTAATAAATTCTCTCATTAAATAAAATTCCTTTTAGAAACAATAGAAAAATACCCAAATCTATTCAATGTCACTTATTTGGAATGATTAAAAATTAAATCAAATAGTTGTCAGTAAAAGTAAAAAAAAGGGTCTGTTCAAGGGAGACAACAAAGCCAATCTGCCACGGTTTTCTCTATCCAATTAGACAAGGAAAATTAGCATAAATTGGTCAGTGTAATTTCAGTATATATTTATTTTACAGACTTAAGAGGTATTGAGTGAAATTAAACTATATATTCATCATTAAACACCATTTGAATACATTTAAATAAGTTGGTACGAGTTTACAATGGTATGAATTTACCGTGGTACGAGTTAGCATTGGTACGAGTTTGCATTGGTACGAGGTTTTTTTTAGTGGTACGAGTTGACCTTGGTACGAGATTACAATGGTACGAGATAACTATAATTCTAATACTCCACTAGTGCAGCTAATGAAGGGCAGTTATATGTTTACTAGGTAATTGGGAAGGACCGCTACACAAAGAGCAAGGCAGGGCTGCCAAGTATCACGCATTTAGCGCGAGACTCACGCATTTTCATGCCTATTTGGCAGCATTTTCCTTTGATCTACTGTTTTTTCTCTTTGATCTTTACGATTTTGGCCAAATCTCACGCATTTGCATTATTAAAAGTTGGCAGAACTGGCAAGGTGATAACACAATGTTGTTCCTCTCAATTTTATCTTCCATCATTCTAAAACTTTTTCGGGAAATTTAAGAATTCAATTACCACTGATGAAATGATTTAAAAAGGCTTTGCCTTCGTGCGTGTTGACAAAATTTGGAAATTTTTACATGAATATGTTGCACTATGGCCTAGCTTGTTTTGTCCGGTTCAGCTGATAGGAAGAGTTATCAAACCATCTGGGAATCAGACTTATTCTTTAATCATTAGCAATGTTCTATGGAACTTTTGACAATGCCTTTTTCATTTATAAAACTATAAATACGTGTTATGTACCTCTTGAGGTTCAACAGATGCCATGTTGTCTGAAATCCAATATGGATTTTTAATCACATGGTTTTACCGGCATCGAAAACGAGGCTGTGTAGAATATTGCATTATGTCAGTTTCTTGGCAAAAATACGCAATTAATACCTATAAAAGGGATTTTATTTTACAAAAAAGTGAATAATTTGTTTTATTAAGAATTTAAAAGTTAAATAAACGCAGTTTGTTAGAGAAATTGAAACAGCAAGCCTAAATCAGGGGGACATAACCGTAACCTTTAATATTTATGGTGCGCCTATTTCGCAAAATTAATTTTAATTTTGAAAAATATAAGATTTATTGTAATATGTACCAAATTTGCTGTATTTGAAATTTGTAAACCGTCCGCCATTCCATCTTAACTTGAATATCAGCTTCATTTCCAAAATGTATATATTGTGGTATGACTTTGTACACAATGATAGGTCATCTGACATCAAGCTTGTTTTTCAGCTACAGCAAGGATTTGTATAGTATACAAATCCTTGGCTACAGGTTGTGAAAAAAATGACACAATGGGGGGGGGTAGGACCTTTATCGGGACTCCGGGATCGGGTGTTTTTAAGCTCGGGATTTCGGGATTGATCCTTTCGGGATCCGGGAATTCTTTTTTCGAATTTCGGGATGTCGGGATTTAATTTTTTTTATAATCGGGACCTCGGGATTCCATGTTTTTAAGCCCGGGATTTCGGAATCAGGACCCCTCCTACCCCCCCCCCCCCCTCAATCATACTTTTTCTGAGTTACCTCCCCCTTAATGAGATCCTTAATATACAAAGTTTAAAAAAAAATGAAATACAGCAAAAATATTCCACTTTTGTAAAAATTATGAGTGATTATAACCTTAGATCACAATAATTTGTTCATTTAAATGAAAATTCGTATTAGTAAGCTGCATTCCTGCAACGACATTTGCTGACCTAATTAAAATTCTAGACCTTTTGTGTTCTGCTATTATACAATCCAAGACGGCGGAAGACACCAATAACACCTTAATTGATTAATATTTCTAGTCACATGTCGGTTATTCTGATGAAGAAAATTTCCCACAATATAACATATTTGTGCAACATAGAGAAATGTGGCCTTAAAAGTGTTAAGCGAAAAGGTCTGAGATAACTACAACACACCGGGTATCCCGATTTGAAAACCACGGAGGGATCCGAACACCGAGGAGCAATTAATGAAAACTTTGTAACGGTAGGTAGGTAAAATTTGGATCCGATTCCCTAAGAGCATATAATTCCTCCATGGGAATCGGTCCACCGTTACAAACTTTTCATTATGATTGCTTCCTGCGAGATTCAGATCCCTCCGCAGTTTCGGATCGGGATACTCGGTGTGTATCAGGGAACGACCATTAATTTTAACTTCAAGGGAGGGGGGGGGGGGCTATGTTTTTTTCCTAAAAAATATTCTGATCCCCAATTTGATGGGAAAAAAATATTGTGGTCAAGCAGATGACAAAAAAAAAAATATTCTGAATCCATATTTTCCCCATACCTTATAGTGTTAAATTTTGAAGAAGAAAAATTTCTGACTCAGACAAAAAAAACATAACCACCCCCATTGAAGTTAAATGGTTGCCCCCTAACACACGTGTTGTAGTAATCTCAGCCCATGATAGATTTAGGGAGTTACCATTTGATTTTTATGGGGGGCTAGGATGAAAAATTTTGTCCTTCATTTTTTTTTAGTTGTAATCTTTATCCTATATATAGATATAAGAAGATGTGGTATGAGTGCCAATGAGACAACTCTCCATCCAAGTCAAAATTTATAAAAGTAAACCATTATAGGTCACAGTACGGTCTTCAACACGGAGCCTTGGCTCACACCGAACAGTAAGCTATAAAGGACCCCATAAAATTACTAGTGTAAAACCATTCAAACGGGAAAACCAACGGTCTAATCTATATAAAAAAACGAGAAACGAGAAACACTTATGAACCACATCAACAAACGACAACTACTGAACATCAGATTCCTGACTTAGGACAGGTGCAAACAAATGCAGCGGGTTTAAACGTTTTAATGGTACCAAACCTTCACCCTTTTTCTGAAACAATAGTGTAACATCACAACATAGAAAGATCGACACACTATAAAATATCAACTGAAATAGCTTAACTCAATCAAAGGACATATTAACACCATTGAACATACACTGAACAAATAAATTTGACCTATGACACAATGTAAATACAAAATAAATAAACTAAGGGAAGAATATAAAAGTAACATATTATATCGGTAAGAAATGTTAAACAATTAAAGAAAAACAATATGCTCGAACAAAAATACCATCCATTTGCAATAACTTTAAACACAGGTAAATGAAAATAATTTTGTTGTTAGGTATACGTGTACAGTACCAATAGAGAAATGAAATATTTTTACAAAATAAATAATTTAGAATACAAAATAAATAAACTAAGGGAAGAATAATAAAAGTAACATGTTATATAGGTAAGAAATGTTAAACAATAAAAGAAAAACAATATGCTCGAACAAAAATACCATCCATTTGCAATGACTTTAAACACAGGTAAATGAAAATAATTTTGTTGTTAGGTATACGTGTACAGTACCAATAGAGAAAGGAAATACTACTACAAAATAAATAATTTTGATGTTCATAGTACGAAGTAAAAATTTATAGTTATACCAAACACTTATCAAAGCTGGTATATAGACCAGATATAACCCTGAATAACATTCTGCCTTTTTATTTTTCATTCTATTCGGTCTTGCCTTTTTTTTTTTGTTAGTTTATCCTGACTTTTTTTACATAAATTGTCATCCTGCATTTTTTTGTTGCCAAGTTGCTCATTCTGCCTTTTTTTTTTACTAAAAACTCCTGTCATGCCTTTTTTTCAAATTTCATCCTCTCCATCCAAGTCACAAAGTGTAAAAAGTAAGTTTATTAAAAACTGAGATGTCATTTTAAACACACAAACACACATCCATCATTCTGAGAAATGTATACGCTTTAACAATGATTCAACGGAACAGAACCACAAAGAAAGGAAAATAAACTTACTGAAAAGTCCTCAATGAACTTAATGACTTTTTTCTCCAGAAGATAAAATGAGCTTAATTTTTGTCAATGTTAGTAAGTCAATAAAATTCTATAACAATTTCTTTTAAATTACAAGAAATCATGTTCACAGTTACAAGTTTCAAATTTACATTTTTTTCATAAAAAAAATGTCATTTTAAATAGGAGCAATTATTCCAATAAGGAGTCACTGGATGATTAAGACCATTTGACTTATTTTGTAGATCTTGTCTGTATCTTCTCTGTAACCCCCAAAAAATATCAACAAAATTCTTTTATCAAATTGTTTATGACATCCTCAGAAATTGTTGGTCAATATTGACCAAAGCGATCTGGTGACATCAATGAAATTAACTGCCTTTACTAAGCAGTATGTTGCCACTTGGTGTAACGCTGTAAGCTGTAGAGACCCAAGATCTTCTGGTTTTAATATCCGTGAGCCATTACTTGAAAATTGAGGTGAACGGTCAAGGTCGTGTATTATATTTTGACCATTGATTGTGAGCACATTTCCTCTGAAACTATAAAACATAGATACAATAGAACTAATGCAAAATGTTTGGGTTATGGAAATGAACATATGCTGCATTTGGTCCGAAGCAACCCAGGGACATCTTATAGGAGTTAATGCACCTGAAAAGCTTAAATTTTATGTTAATTGATTATTACTCCATACTGGTACATGATAAAGCCATGCATGGGATCTTTTTCAAAGGGATGGGTGACTTTTGGCAAACCAGAGTAATCATTTTTTGCACTTATTCAAGTGAAAAGTACATAGACACCAATTTTTTTTCGCCGAATCAGCATGCAGTAACCTATCAATTGACACAGACAGTAACCTTTTGTAAACAGGAAGTAGATAATTATCTCCCTCGGTTGAAACAAAACTATATATAGAAACTATATATATTTGGAATCAGTGTAAAGAAAGCCATCATATAAAACCGGAAGTTACATTTTTAAACTGGAAGAAGCAAATTATCTTCCTTTTTACAGTCAAAAGTATATAGAAACCATATATTTTAAGAATCCGCACAGTTTTCTTTATTATTTCAAAATAAGAGTGCACACGCTGAAATTTCTCGCCTGCTTTACCATGAAACATTTACTGACCATTGATTTTATGTTGATAGTCCTAAATATAAAGTTTTACTACATGCATCACATAAACTTAACATGATTCAAGAAAATGAGGTCAAGGTCAGATAAACCAAGCCAGAAATACATGTACACCTTACAATCATTTCAAAATCATTCCATGCATTAAATATAGTTGACCTATAATAATTGCTTATAGTATCTAAGAAATAAACTTTACCAGGAAAACTTAACATTTACCAATCAACCATGAAAATGAGGTCAAGGTCAGATGATACCTGCCTGACAGACATAAACACCTTACAATCATTCCATACACCAAATATAGTTGACATATTGCTTATCGTACGTGAAAAACAGATCAAAACACAAAAACTTAACATTGCGCAATGAACCGTGAAAATGAGGTCAAGGTCAAATAAAACATGTCAGACTGACATGTACATCGTAAAATATTTCCATACACCAAATATAGTTGACCTATGGCATTCAGTATTAGAAAAAAACAGATCATTAGACAAAAACTTAACTTTAATCACTGAACCATGAAAATGAGGTCAAGGTCAGATAACATCTGCCAGTTGGACATGTACACCTTACCATCATTCCATATACCAAATATAGTAGATATATTGCTTATAGTATCTGAGATATGGACTTGACCACGAAAACTTAACCTTGTTCACTGATCCTTGGAATGAGGTCGAGGTCGAGGTCGAGTGAAAACTGTCTGACAGGCATGAGGACCTTATATAGTTATCCTTTTACTCATGATAAGAGTAAAATTGATATTACAAAAACGTTACCTTTTTTTTCAAGTAGTCACTGAACCATGTAAATGAGGTCAAGAACAT